GTAAGAACAATTTTATAAAAAGGTGAATACAATCAGTTATAACTTATAACTTATACACTTATTTTAACAAAACAACTTATTTATTATAAATATAGTAAGTCGTAAGACACTATTATATAATACACTTATTAAATAGAACTTATGCTAGGTAGCATAATTTAAATGGTTCACAAAAGTTAAATGTTCTAATCACGAGCCCCTAAATTATATTTAAGGGAACCATTAGCTCATTATCGATTGATAAAATGGCAACTGGCAAGTGATTGTGTACTACGTAAGTATACAGCCTCCATTAGTCTATTAGAAAACAATCTAACAATCATCAAGTACCTACAGTGGCGCAACTAAGATTTTTGGGCCCCAGGGCAGCAGAAGTTTTAGTACATCATATATTACCACTCTCTTGTAATAAAATGCTTTCAACCCTACCACAACTATACTATAACCGTGACGTATCTTAGGATGATTTCTCGAATTTGTTTACATCAGTGTTCATATTAAATACCTTAACCACAGAATAGATTAAACCTATTCTGTGCTTTAACCATGGTTATAAAACACTACGGTACAATCACCAATATCATGGCTGAATCGCGGAAAAAAAAGTCACTGAAAAAAAAGTCCCGATAAAAATTAATAAAAATATATCAAAATTCAAGTATAAATACGTTAAAAGTGTATCGAAAAATACATTAAAGTTACATAAAAAATCATATAATATCATAAAAAATGTTGAGTACTTACTTAAATAACATATTAAAATATAATGAAATTTAATTTAATTGTATAGTCTATAAAATAATAAAATGTAATACAACAGTCAATAAAAAATACAACTATTGTATCTATATAGTTATAATAATAATGCTATAAAAATGTAATATTATAATTATTTACCTACACCTCTTTCTTATGTTATGACTTACGGCTGTTAAAAGGCCTGTTTATAAGTTTACATATATAACCTATTATTATACCAAAAAACGTTTGTTTTTATGTAATGTTCCAAATCAAAGTTCAAATTATAAGTATCTGTAGTAATTTCTTATATATTTAATAGTCACTATTTTTGAAAAACCATCCAAAATGAATACCTATTATAACAAAATAAACCTTTTTTAAAAATTACCTCTGCTAATTACCTTTCCATAATTACCTTTATGATGAATAATTTATGGTATGAAACTTTTTATATTTATCTATACATTTTGATATATACCATATTATCATTACACTAAATTACTAAATTATAGCAAAAGCCAAAAATATAATCTCCATTAAGGAACTTGAAAATTAAATGTATACACTATATAGTATATAGGCATGTAAGCTCCCTTCTATTTTTTATGAAATTATATGATATTTTATGTAACTTTAATTTATTTTTCATTGCAATTTTAACATATTAATATTTCAATTTAAGACAATTTTGATATATTTAATTCATTTTTTCGGGACTTTTTTTTCCGATTACCGGCATGGCTAAATAATATTATCGAATTTCAGAGAAATCAAAAATTGATTATAAAACCGATAAGAGAATAAATATCGTGATATCGTACAACTATAAAATCGATAATAAATTGTTAATAAAATATGGAATAGATAAACATTTTATATTTTTTATTATTATTGAATCTAGACTAACACAGAAGGTATCCAATCACAGGAATTGTGCCCTAAAATTAATCTCATAGTGCCCTTTTAGCAGGGCGTCGCCTTGCCCGCCCCCCCTCCCCGGTAATTGTGGCACTGAGTATACCTACTAAAATACTGATGACGCCAATGGCCAACGGGCCAATGGGGTTTTTACGGTACTTCTATTTTACTGTTCAAAGCCATTTAACTAATAATTATTCGTTTTTGGTTAAACAATTTTTATACAATTTGTGAAAATCACCACAAACTTTAAAGGTTTATTACTATATTTACGTGACGGCCACGGCGTCTCGTAAAATATTATAATCTGTTGAGATTTTCAATTTATGATAAATGCACTGCTCCGATCTACATATATACGTACAGTACAGTAACAGTACACACGTATATTTTAATGGATTTTCAAGTTTATTATATTTCACATTTTGAAACATTATAATTTGTAATAGGTATGGAATTTGTTCAACAACATTTTATGGTCATCGTGTTAGAATAATTAAATAATTATAAGATAATAGGTATACTTTATTTATAAATGATAATACTAATATATGATAATATATGATTGTACCTACTAGAAAATAATGTATAATTGTATTGTATGATCAAACTAATTAACAGCAATATGATTGTTTCAGTATCTAATATTTAGTTAAATTAACATTTTAGATTCTGAGCGGAGCGATGAATGTATTGGTTTTACAATGATGTATGTTTTTATATTTTTATATTTTTATATTTTTATATTTTTTTTTGTGTCTGTCATCACGTTTTGGGACAGTAAAAGTGCTTCGATTTTCTTCAATAGTACCTTTTCTGATAGGAAAGTGAATCTAGTTGGTACTTTGGGGGGTCAAAAGTAAACATTTTCCAGTAGTTTTCACAAGCGCCGGGAAAAACAACATAAAAATTAAGGAAAAACGGGAATTTTTACGCAAAATCGATTTTCCAAAAAATCGAATTTGGTTATTGGTGTAACTTTAAAACAAATGACCGTAGATACATGAAATTTTCACTGGTTGTTTATATTTGCATTTTCTATACACGATAACATTTTCAAAATATTTTGATTTATTTTGAACTGTTTAGGGACATTTTCATTTTTCATTTTATTTTAGTTTTTTTTATAGAAATATCAATAAAATTTTATTTGTTGGTTGCGAAAGCTTGAAAATTTAATAGAAGGCTCCTAATATGTTGTTTCAAAGGCAGATGAAAAATATTAAAAATCCTTAGTCACAATTTTTTTTTATAAGCATTTAAAGTTCAAAAATTGACAAAATATGGAAAAATCACGAAAATTAGCAAATTATTTTGAGTTAAGAATTCGTAAAAATTTTTCTTTTTAAATCTAAGATTTGAAAATGAAACACAAGATTCCTTATAAGATTATCTACCTTTATCAATAAAAAAATCTCTACCGGACAGTCAAATTAAATTTTTATGAGCGTTTGAAATTCAAATTTTTACAACATTGGATTTTCACTCGATTTCTCATGTAGCGATTTCCTTATTTTGTTGTAATTCAAAAACGAATAACTGTAGATACATGAAAATTTCACTGAATGTTTATATTAGCATTTCATATACACCATACAATTTTGAAAATATTTTGACTCTTTTTGAGCTGTTTATGGACATTTACAGCTTTCAATTTTTTTTAGTTTTTTTTTCTTTAAATATCAATAAAGTTTTATCTGTTGGGCCAAAAAGTGTAAAAATTTAATACAAGGCTCCTGATATATTGTTACAATATCAGTTGAAAAATATTAAAAATACATAGGCACGATTTTTTTTATAAGCATTTAAAGTTGGAATTTTGACAAAATTTATCAAAATCTCGAAAATTATCAATCGTTGGAATTAAAAAATTATAAAATGTTCAGTTTTTATAACTAAGAGTTGAAAATTTAAAACAAAGATTCTCTTAAATAATTCATACTGTAACCAAAAAATCTAAAAAATATATAAACACACTTATTTTTTACAGACATTTTAATTTCAAATTTAGACAAAATTTCATATTTAAACCAAGAATTACGATTTTAGTTATTTTGTTGTGATTGAATAATACTATTCGTGGGTACTTGAAACTTCTAAAGTGTACTATTATATATCTATGATAGTATCACGGTTTTTGTTGATGTATAACGCGTTATAAGTATCTAATGGATATTGTGATATGATTAATTTGGAATTTATTATAGGTACCTATTATAGGTCAATTTTTTGTTTAATACCATAGATATGTATATAATATGCCTTATACATAGACTGACATACCATCACCGCTCAGAATCGTTTTTCTTATACAATGATATTATATCATTGAATTCAAATTTAATACCATCCATTATACAGTGACCCACTTGTAACCTACTGTACAGCAGAGCAACACCCACTTGCCCACCTTTTTTTATCCACTTATTTAAAATTATATTTTCTTTAAGTGTTTGTGTAGTTTCTCCAAGTGTAGAATAAAGATAAGAAGTAGTACGTATAAAAGTAACACTTACCTATGTTATTGACCATCAATAATAACTTGATTCTAAACGTTACGTATGTGTCTAAAATGAAATAATGTATATTTAATATAATTTTTTTTAAATTGGGAGAAATTTAAATAAAATACCTCAGTACCAGAATAAAATAAACACAAAATCCAAAACTTAATCTACCCAATCAAAATACACATACCTATTCTAAAAGTTAATATTTACTAGAAATTTTTTTTTATATATATATACTGTTAAATGTACTAAAATTATTATTGTTAAAATATAATGACATTTTTTAATAGTTCTATTTTTATTCCAAAGAGGTAAATGACCGATCCATAATAGTAATACACATGAGTGGTACACGAAAAAATTGTTTGAAAATCTCTGGGCTAACCTGTAACCATCTATTTATAATTGTCTTTTTTGAAATTTCTGTTGTCAAATTTATTTATTGTACTATTGTAATAAATTAAGTAATATACTAATATTCTAATAATGATAATAATGCAGTTTCACAGGATGTTGAGAGATGTATAATTTCTTATACCAACAGGAAATGGTTTTTGAATTCGTAAGTGGCCCCTATGTATAAAATTGAGCACAGGGTCATTTTTTTAGGAAGATCTATAATTCAACGGTAGTTATCGATAGAGGTTTTGAGATAAGACAATGATTTTCCATAATGTTTGATTTAAGTAAATTTTAAAGATTTAAGTCTGATGTACGTCTTTGACGAAGACTTGTATCTTAGTATTATTATTTTGTGTTTTTTGAGAAGATGTGAGAAGATTTTCACACGTTTCTTCAAGATTTAAGTCTTTTGAGGAAGTGTACAATTTCTTAGGCGAGAAAAATATTTGTGAATTTATTCGTGTCATTGGTTTCTTTGTGGTTTGTTTTATTTTCGTGATATAGTGGCTGAGATTGATTTTTTAAAAGATATATTTGTGGACTGGTTTCTTTGGTTTCTTCATGATTTATATCTTTTTGCGATAGCGGCCGATTAGAATCCAGCCGATTTATAAATATTTGTGAGCTGGTGTCCATCAGAGTTCTATTACGTCTGGGTGTTCTTGCCTCTTGGCGAACAAAAGCCATTTTTGTCTTCGTCAGAATAGGATTTATTGTTCAGTTTTTTTGTTAGGGATGGAACTTAATAATTTGCATCCCGTGGTATAATATCATAATGAGTACGATTTTGACAAATATCACGTTTAGTGTGCTACATAAATCGAGTATAATATATGAAATCAATTCATTTAATTAATAAGTTATAATTATAAACATCGCTAGTTGATATTAATAAGTAGTAACTAATGAGATAATCAAAATGTCATTGACAGAATATAGGATAAGGCACTTCATTAAATTGACATCAATTCTTATGTAACATCGTAATTTGTTGCATAATCTTGTCATACAAAATAAATATGATACATTATTATTTCTGTAGGAAAGCAAATGTTTACGTATTATTGACTAATTATGATTATAAAAGGTATATTATATAATATTATTATAAACAGTCGGACATATTGTAAAGTATTAGGTCACGTCATAATAAACTCTAAAATGACTCAAAAGGTCAAATACTCGTACTTTTTGGAAACTCGAGTTTATAATTATGTGATTTATATTGCACAACATTTCCTAGTTTTCTACTACCTAGTATTACTAACTATATTACCTAATAAAGTAGTAATATATTATTTTAATTGGTTATTTAATATTTGAGGCCCAACAAATTATTTGTATTCTTGTTAAACTTAAATGGATTATTATTATTACTACGGTCAAGAACTATGATAGCTCGGAGCCCCCTATAACTTAAAAATGTTCTCAAAAATAATGAAAATTGAAAATAATAATTTGTTATTATTGTATTGTGTGTGAGTTAAGATAATAATAATAACGGTTTTATTGGCGTATACACTTTGACAGTATCATTTTTACTATTTAGTGCTTGCACTCCTTAAATGGTGTGAAAAACTTAAATCATTGAAAATATGGTTTCCAAGTATAGGCACTCATTAAGAACCTTAATTTGAATCGTCCTGTATACTGGCGTGGCTCAGACGGCCACTGCGCTTGCAACATCGTTGACGGCGTTTGGGCCGTTTTACGCCAAGTGTGAAATTTTACCTGCAGCAGCTTTTAGACGGTTAATAATGTGTGAAAACGACGTGCTTGTGGCGCATGTTTGACGAGGAACTCTTATTTCGTCCACCCCTCCAGGTCTGTCGCTGCACGGTCACCATCGAGAGCGCCACCGCAAACCCGAAATTACCTGCTGCACCGTCATCGCCCCTCGCCACACCGACCCTCCACAACTATCCCTTAACCGTGCACAGTGGTTGCCGCCGATTAAACGCTGATACACGTGCTCGCTCGCACGCGCGTGCATTTCCCGTTGCCTAACACACACATGCCCACCCGCACACACACTTAAACTCCACTGACTGTGGTCACGGCGGCGGGACTGCCACAATCAGCATCGGCGGGATCAGCAATTCTCTCTCGTACACACATCCCATCCCCGTTCCATTCGACTATACTTGCACGTTCGTTTGAGCTGTGCACAATATAATATAATACAATCCAAAAACGCATTCTTGTACATGCACATGCGCGTCTGTGCTGCCGCCGCGGCCGTCATAGTAATTTTGCGTACAATATCGCACAGTAACATAATATATTATTATAATTAAGCGCTTGTATTTGAGTACATTTATATATATATATATAATATATGTGTATAAATCTTCGTAGCACACGCACACGAGAATTGCGACGGTCACTGTTCTTCGCATCCCCTTGAATTGCTAGTGAACCATAATGCACGCGGGGTCGGTGTAATATAACAATAACATTACCTATACCTGCATTATTGCATAACATTTTATCGTGTCAACCAGACCAGTACTATTATAATTTTATCGTATTATTCGTATCATATCGCTGCAAATCGAGTTCGGAAAAACCAACAACTTGTGTTACCGAACTGTCGATTGAGCGTGGTAGGTATTGTCACCGACCTAAACGGCACATGTCTGCTGGAGACCCACGGAAATGGATATACGACATTATTTTTGTATTTTTCGATCTATAAACCCAATAGTAATATGATAATTTACAAATTTCAAAATTAAATTTAAGATTATTTACAATTGTTTGAAATTTGTATTTAGAACTAAGTGCGGAGGATCTATACGAGAAATGTGGTCCCCGAAACTTATTTTTGTCTTAATTTTTGTCTTGATAAGTTTTTTTTTCAGAGATTTAATTTACAATTCGGTACATATTTTAAACTTACAATTGTTTCCAATAATTTGAACAAATTCGCACCTATTTCGTGAATTATGGCATTATGTCAGAACATATAGGTATGTATATAAAATTATAACATGTTTGTCGCAAGACGGTGGAATACAATTTGCATGTTTTTTTCGTTACTACGTAGAAGGAAGTAAATCCATTCTAAATTTATTTTAAATTACTCATTCATACATAAATAATTAGTACATGACTCAAAGTGGTCTGAAACGCTATTTTAGAGGCTCAAAATTATCATTTCAAAATAATTTTTAAAAAAAAAATGTCAAAATTCTATAAGCATTAAGCATAAGGTTCTTAAGTCGAATATAAAATTTAATAATCATGCGGTTATTTTGAACTTGTTTATAATTATATAAACATATTATATAAGTCTATAACTATAATTATTTCAGTGAAGTTTGTTGCAACAAAACATGAATTTAGTTATTCAATATTTTTCGTTATAATATTTATCTGAAACACAGACATCAATATTATGTATTTAAATTATTAAATTATTTTAACGATTAAATTGTATCCATTTCTATACTTATATATGAATACATAAATATTTTCAAGTAATGAAACAATGATTATCGGTGATAAAAATGAGGAATTAAATTGAATTAAGCTAAATTCAAGAAATAAATGAAATAAATGGATGAATTTAAAAACAACATTATATCCTGGGAACTATCTTTATTTTATGTACATATATAATTTTGGGTAAAATTGAGAAATTTTTAATTGCACGATAAAAAACAAAAAAAAACTTAAACCTTTAAATATTTTTTAATAATTTTAGATGGTTAAATAAAAAAAATTTTAATAAATATATTTTTATCTTCTTAATATTATTAACAAACCGGCAATAAAATAATAGTGGGGGACGAGGTGGCCGAGTGGTCTAACGCGTCAGCTGCGGCGCTGCCGGTCGCGGTTTCGATTCTCGACCACCGGGCGGCATTTTTCTCCGGGCAAGTCACGGTGTCCGGAAAACAAGTGCCGCTATCCCCCACTCCGGGGCATGGCAGAAACCTACGGGTGCCCCATTCGAAATTCTGCAAAAAAATACACCCACGTGTAACACACCTACCGTTCCAAAACCTACAGTACCAATCCCCCTCCCAATGGCCTAAGTTGCTGCGGGATAATTAATAATAATAAAAAAAAAAAATAATAGTAAAAAAAAAATTCGAAAAAACATTGTATTTCCCTCATAAAAAAAAATATAGTTTCATTAAAAATAACGGAAAAAAACGTCATAAGACTCATCATTTCCAAGTTGATATAGTTATAATCAAGTTTAAAATAAACTCATGATTATATTTGACTTAAGGAACTTATGCTAATAGAGTTTTGATATTTTATTTTATTTTTTAATTTATTTTTAAATTTGACTATTGAGACCCTGAAATAGCGTTTCAAACCACTGTACGACGTTCAGAAATATTTTATGAATACCTATTTTATTAAATATTCTTTGTATAATATATATTTATAAAGATAATAATATGATTATATTATATGTAATAATTTACAGTATATTTGCATAATCTGTCGATTGCGATCATGATTAACCTTTTGGGGTATTTGTTGTTTTTTTTTTTGTGAAAATTGATTTAAATTATATTTTTAATTTTATATTCACAAAAACAAATTATTTTTAGATTGGGGTTTTCAATTATTTGGTAAATTGTTCACTTATCGATGAATACAAATTCCAATAGAAAATACTATGTTCAGCTTTTTATTGTTATCTTTAAAAGTGCCTTGCACCTACCTTCCATAAAAGGTCATAAATAATAAATCTGTATAAACAACAAACGTAATCTTAACAAAGATTTATTTAAAATATGTTTATCTTTTAATATTTCCTAATTTTATTCAATAAAAAATAATTTATTACGGTAAAATACAAATTATGGATTTTTTTATTTATAAACACATTCAGATGTTAAAACGTTGATGAAATTGGTTATTAAAAAAAAAATATTCGATTATTCCTCAAACGATTTTAGTTATTCTGTTGTAATTGAAACTTTTAGTCATTATACGTTCAAAATATTGGCTATTTATACCACAAACCTATATTCATATACCTTTATATGGAAACTCATAGACATAGTATTGGTTTATAAATTAGTAAGAATAATATAATATGGTATAGGTATTATATAGTTTATAATAATAACATAGGTAAAAAAATAAATTATAAAATATTCTTAGAAATACGGGCTGAGTCCCTACAGAGACACTCGTTTCAGTTCGGAATCGTTTTCTGTATGCAATGATTTATCATTGAACTCACCCATTTCAGTGACCGGTATCTATCATGAGGTATACTCGAATAAAGTAAACCTATTAAATAGCAGAGCAATTTTCCCGGTTTTCCAATTTCGACTTGAGGGTTTAGATTTTAATTTTTACTTTATTTCCGAGTATAGTGATTATAATATTATTAATATACTAGTACCTATATATAATGCATTGTCCAGTGCATTTAAACTAATGGTTGGAAAAAAATAAACACGCTTCACAGAATATAATTTGTGGGAGGACCTCGAGATTTTGACTGATTACGAGGTTTAACCCAGTACTGTGTACGTGTTAGATTTTAAATAATGCCACATTTATCTGGGAGGTGAACAGCACTATAATATAGTGTATACACGATAGTACGATACACCCCGTCAAAGAGAGGCACGATATACGATATATTTCTGTGGACAATTTAAAGCTTACCGTCTTGATTTGACAATTGTAATCTTTGTTGCCCTGGG